ATCAGTGGATGTGCGGCATATTCACGTTCGAATACGGCATCAGTGGATGTCCGGATGCGTAGCCTGGAGGCTAGGCAACCGATTCCGGACGTGTATAGCCACTGCGTATTCGAATAAACCTTCGGGCTATCGGGCCTTTGGTCTATCGGACCTTCGGTCTATAGGGCTATAACCGACATATGTACGCAATCAATGTTGCTCTATTTTCACTGAGAGAGTGCTTATCCCATAAGCTGTAATATATATGTTGTGCATAATGTGTATAACTTTATATCCATGTCAGTGTGTTTCATTTCAGTCAAGGAGCTGGATGAAAAGTCATGGTACGACAAGGATCTCTGTGAGTTTGACGATATTTTGTTGAGTCAAGATAACAATGCAACGGAAGCCGACGGCGAGAGCAAAGACGAAAGTCCGAGATGTGGTAGGAAGAAGTTGCCGCCGATTTTATATTAAGGAATCAAAACCTGACTGCTAGCTTCAAGTTTGCATAAAATTCAAAAGAATCTTCAATGACTTAATTTGTATAAGGGGACATTTATTTTGTGATGAATCAATGTATGTAACCTGTTAGTTTTCGCAATAGTTTCAACAGTTGGTTTAGTTGTCTTGGTCAGCTTCCTTTTCTTGTTCAATTATTGGCAGAAACTTCTGTTAGTGTTACATAGTGCCTGTCTTTTCTGCTTGTATTTTGTTATGGCAGGAATGCATTGAATAATACATCTCCATGTTGCCATTCCCATCGGAAACTTCCCACAATAAACTTTTATGTTTTTTCGTTTGAACAATATGTCACTGTGTTAAGCTGAATATGTTCCTTATGCTGCTCAGCACGGGAGCGCACCAGACGGAGGAGGCATGTCGGCACGCGGGTGGAGGGCTTCAGCGGCAGCGCCACCTATCCGCTAGATCTGTGGTACGTTCTCTCTCAGTACGTGCACGCGGAGGACGTCGGTCACTTTGCGGCCATTTGCAAGGACGCGTATCACATCACCTGTACGATCAGCTTCTGGATCTGTCTCTATAAGAGGTACGTATGCGTCTTATGCGGGTGAATTAATTGGTTTTAAGTATTTCACACCCAGACAGTGGTCGATACAGTGATTTGGCACTGAAAAGGAAAACAGGATCATTGCCAGTATGTAGTAGGAGATGTTTTGTACGTAAATCTTCTTGATCAAGTAACAATTGGTTAGACTTTCGAACTTTAAATTGGCGAGCATGTGGTTAACCTGTCAGATGGGTGCAGTCCATGTTTATTAAACGGGTGCAGAATAATTTAACAAAATCTGCTGCATTCATTAATTAATTATATTAATTAATTCAATTATATTGCTAATTAATTCAATTTAACAAAATCAATTGCTGCATAATTGGGAACACATCAACACCTTCGTTTATCTGTCCAAATGTCGACTGTTGGATTTCAGATTATCACTGTGAATGATCTTTTATCACGGATTTTTCTTGCTAAAATAATATACCGTCGCAAAAATACGCGTTCCTGTTAAGAACTCTCACTGGAGACTCAGGACGATGTTTCGTGCGACAGGTACTACCGACCAGACGTCACACTGCCAGTGCTGCTGCGACCCGCCTGCCTGGAGCAGCGCTACAGCCTCAAGACGCGTGTCATCCGCGCTCTCTTCTACCTACACGACCCGCTCGTCCGGCGCACGAAGCAGCTCACCGCGCCCTTCGAGACACCGCCTCACTTCCTCCAGGGCTCGCGCTGCATGCTCATGTGGCACCAGAGGGTGAAGGCCAACAACTGGACGTTTCTGTTCAAGTTTCGGCGCGCCGGCACGCGATTGGCGAAGACCGTCGCGGCGACGGAGGGCGACGCGCTAGACTACCTCGACAACTACAGGGCCAACTCGGAAGACGGCTGCAGCGTGCTCAGCGTCACCTGCTGCAATTTCATCTCGCTGCCGATCGTCATGGGGCAGATGCTGACGCAGGTGTGCGTGAACGTCAGCCGCAACATGCGCTTCCACCGCGTGAAGCTAGTCTTTCATTCGCTGTACAACGACGGTCGCCAGAGCGCGACGACGGGCTGCGTCGCCATCTTGGATCCGGTGGTGAGCATCCGAGTGTCGCATTGGTGGCATCCGCAGTATCCGATGTGCAACGCGACCATATATGGTTGAGTGTGCATTTCCCCGGGCAGCTGATATTTTTTTAATTTAGCAAAGAATCTAGATTACTAATGGGTATAGGTTATAGATGACACTGTTATACTCATATTTTTCTGTTACGTATGGCAAGGAAGCTACACAGTTTTACATCAAATATGTTAAAGGTCTTGTGCCATTTCTTTACTGTTAATAAATGGATTAACATTCAGATGTGCGAAAAGTCACTGATGGTAAAGGCCACGAAATGTTGTCATCAAGTTTATTTATGGCTGTTATTTATCTTGAAATGTGTAGAGATATTGTTTATGTTTGCATATGCAGATAGATAATTTATGTACACATATTCTGGTTTGCGTGTGGTTTCCACGTCAATGCTACTGTTATAAAGGATGACATATATACCAGAACTGAAAGTAAACAATTACGCTTACAGCAAATTAAAAGCAACAGTCGGCAATAGAAATCGTGCGTAGACTAACGTTAGTATGCCAAAAACTCTCCCTAGAATATGGAAGACTCACATAGCATTTACTACTGATTTAATATATAACAAGTGCTGCAAAGCGACAGGGCTCATCTGGTGTCTGGTGTTCTGCTGATAAATTCATTTGTGCATAGCAAGACGTCCTATACATACGTTCATTTCTAACCCCAAAAAACAACAGTTCAAACTAGTGTAATAAAATTCCGATAGATGGCGGGCCGCTATCAAAGGCATCGTTGCATCGGTCAGCCAAAGCATTGCAGCAATGGCAGCTGTCAGTGTGACGACAGATTGCAAAAAGCAGGAGCGAATAATTACCATATTATTACTATACATAACGTGCGTTCTATGGTGTCAGGTAATAAGGTACATTAAACCCCTTGCGAGGCACATCTGGCTCGTTACAAAATAGCTCGATGGTTGATACGACCAGAGCAGCTCGTGCAAGATTACAATTTACAGCAATACGATAGCAAAGTGTCTGTAAACTAATTTCAGTACAAGGTAGGCCAGTGATTAGTGGACCGATTAAGCTCAAGAACGTATACACTTGCGTCTATATTGGTGCCAAAATTTGATGAGAAAATTAAGTCTGGGAAATCCGCAGCCTCACTCCTGGGTAATTATTTGAGTGCTAGTGACTGTATTCCAACTATTCATAATGTACACTACAGAATCTCGTATATAAGCCATCTCATTATCTCCTAAGTAAAGCGTGTTCAAGTAAGAAGTTATGTGTGGAATTTTACTGTAAACTGGAGTTTCCACAACCAGTACGGTACTCGCCAACGCAGTTGAGATACATCAATCCATGTTTAGACCCTCCTTTGAGGTCAAAAAGTATCAGACACTGTACTCTTTCGCAGCGTCGAGGTGGAAACACATTCGATGGTGCCTTCAATAAAAGCCATAAAAATGTAGGTCACCGCTGAACAAAAAGTTTTCAATCGCTCCGTCACACCATGTCCTCAGAAAATGTCTAAATCTGCCCTGTGCCTCATTGACCTTTTGGACCTGTGACCTCTAATTTCGGCACAGTGATGGCTTTTCACTACCATGATGCTATACACCGCCATCACGAGTCTAGGTCGAGCCGTTAAGATTTGTGTGCAATTCTGCATTTCCTCCCTATACTTATGCTAGTAGGAAGAGGGGTCCCCATGCACCCGTGATGATATTTTTTAAATGTACTTTCTTGTAATCCTCAGGTCGGTACTAAACGAATTTGTATGTTCCCAGTACGAAATATTGTCCCATGGGTCCGTTTGGCGGCATATTGGAAGCATCTTGAATTTTCCGACGAAATCGATGATCGGTGGTAACTTTAGAATAGACATCAATACCAGAGACAAATGACCCATTTTTTAAGTGAGTTTGGCATGAGGAATCGATTTCGAGGTTATTTTCCAATTTGACATGCGGATACTCTGTTAAACTACAATAATATAATA